CAGGAGAGGTCTGCCACGCCATGTGGGTCACCTCCGGGGCAGGCGGGAATCGAACTCATGTGGAAGTGGTTTCAGCTTCTTTGTGCTGTGCTTTAACCCACTGTGCCACCAGGGAGGGCCTGATTTTTTTTTTTAAAGATTAATTTATTTATGCATACAGAACTTGGGTACAAGCCAGAGGTGCAGGGCCGTGAGAGGATTCACCAGATACAGAGTGGGGAGCAGAATGAGCAGACCAACTAAGTACACTGCTGAGGGAGTAGAGGGTGAGACAGGAGAAGGCTGCTGTGCCATGTGGGTCACCTCTGGGGTGGGGGACCGAACTAGTGCTGAAGTGGCTTTACCTTCTTAGTGCTGTGTTCTAACCTGCTCCGCCACCAGGGAGCGCCAGGGGGTGATTTTTAAGATAATAGCCAATATGGACTGTCCTCGTGTTTGGGTCACACTCTCAAGTTTGTCTGATTATTGGCAGATGACACCTGCGTATTTAAGATGCGGTTCCCTTCATTTCTGGGTCCTGGAGTCAATACATTCATCTGATTGTTCTCAGCAACTTTAATCAAGTGCTTGTGCCCCCTGAGATGAGATGACGGGCATGCTCATTAGTAGCTGCCCTGGAAGACCTTCTCATATGAGGGAACAGAGTACTTACTGTTCAAGGTCAAAATAGAGAGATTTTCTGAACAATCAAGTTATCGGGTTACTTTAAAAAATGCTTGAACACTGGAAAATATTTGAGAATTAAAGTCTCAGTACTTAATAACAATGTAACTTGGGTGTTTTGTAAAAAAAAAATGCCTAATACGTGTAAAAATTACAGTTTGCTCAAATAACCCAAATAATTGCCAAATATTACAATTGTTTATGGTGTCTCTGAAGAATTTTTTTGGTACATAGGATTTATTTATGCATACAGAGCTGGGGTACAGGCGGTGAGAGATAGAGCAGGGAGCAGAACAGGCAAATCAACGAAGCACGCTGTCGAGGGGAGGAGTGGAGAGACAGAAAGTCTGCTGCGCCATGTGGGTCAGCTCCGGGGCCGGGGATTGAACTTGCACTGCAGCATCTGCAACCAGCTTGCAGAGCTGCATCCTAACCCATTGCATCACCAGGGAGGGGCCCAGAACTTTTTTTTTTTTTTGTAAAGATTTATTTATTTATTCATACAGAACTGGGGTACAGGCCAGAGATGTGGAGGGTGAGAGGCTTCACCAGAGACAGAGTGGGGAGCAGAACAGGCCGACTGATGAAGTCCACTGCTGAGGGAGCAGCGGGCGGGTCAGGAGAGGTCTGCCGTGCCATGTGGTCACCTCCGGGGCAGGCGGGGATCGAACTCATGCGGAAGTGGCTTAAGCTTCTTTGTGCTGTGCTTTAGCCCGCTGCACCACCAGGGAGGGCCCAGGGGCCCAGAACTTTTTAATCTATATATTCACGCTCAATTCCCTCCCTCCCCCACTCGGAGTTATTTGTTGGAAAAAACCAGGGTTGTGTGTCCCACTTGGACTTCTACACAGCCTGGATTCCTGGTTGACCACCCGGGGCAGCTGCTTCTGTTCCAGGCTCCTTTGTCTCTGTAACTCTGGTCTGTCTGGAATCCGAGCAGATTTAACGGTATGTTTTTTTGCTGTCAAGAGAATTTTCTAGGTGATGACATGAGCTTTTATCCAAAAGAACACAGTGTTCAGTTTCTCTTCCCTAGGCTTTAGTGCAATCGTTTTGTTGCCAAGCTCATGGTTTCTCAATAGCAGCAAATGACTATTGACATTTTATGCTGGATAATTCTTTCCTGTAAGGCGAATCTGTGTATTGCATGCCATTTTGTAACGTTCCTGACCTGTACCCACTAAATGGTTGCTACACCCCCACCCCAGCACACTCAGAAAAGTCTCCAGACCGTTAAATGTCTCCTGGGAGGGCAAAATCACCTTGGTAGTAAATGCCTGAACTAGTTCCATTAATTTATTAGGGGTTTCAATATGGTGATTTCTCTCATCTCTTTTTATTTTCTGAATGCATTTAAAGATAGCAACATCGTCCTCATCATCTTTCCTTTTCCT